GCCAGTCCACATTTCATCATGGATCCTGGAAGGAGCTCATGAGGCTTCACCCTGCCTTGAGGGACTTTCAATGGTTGCCGTCGGCAGGGCCTGTGGCTTTCTTCAGTGTTGTACCCACTAGTCAGTTGCGCGTGCTTCAGAAAGTAACCTCCTGCCCATGTCTACACAAGCAACCATAATTACATAGAGTTGTTTGTACACACCAAAAAATGCATAGGTCAGGGAGCTTAGGAAGCAGAAAGGTTTCAATGGGATGGGGATGGGGGAGGAGGTAGGCGGGGGGGGGGGTACTAAAAATGGAAAAGGGTAATGGAAACAATTAAAATGCGTTGTACACAAGCATGCATCTCCCCAAGAATTTACAAAGTAATCTCATGTGTTCTTCCTCCTAGCCATCAGTTACGTTTAAACAAATACCCCTGCTGGTTGGCTTTGGGAGTAAACGGTCCTGTCTCGCCATAGCATCTAAATAACCCAGGCTGCATAGCCCGGGCACCTTTCAACAGATGCCCACAAATACAAGAACCGAGAGTCGGGAACATACCTGGGCCATCCTGAGATACTTGGGAATAGAGGCCAAGGATTCCGCCCTATAAACTTGCACAAGAGTAGCATAGAAACGAGAGTCTGGCCTAGTCGATGGGTTCTGAGTGGAGGGTAAGAAAGATGGCGTGCTTTGAGAACGGCATGAGCAACGCTTAGGCGGAACGTAGGTTGGCCCTGTCAGGACGGGCAGCAGTGGAGGAAGAGGACATTGGGTGGACAAGACTATGTCTCCTGAGCCTCCCCTCACTTCTTAATCTCCTCTCCTTTGGCAGGTTCGAACCATAAATATGTACAAGGACATCAACATTACCCCCTACAAGCAAGAGTTCAGTGCCAAGACCCTCACTGAGTGCTGGAGAGAATGCATGGCCAAGTCTTCCTACTCCCTGAGGAAAACAGCTGTAGGGAAATTCAACGCAGAGAATTCCTGGAAGAAGAGGGGGCTGGCCATGATTCCCCTGAAGTATCCTGTGGGTCTGGGCTCAGTAGCCATGGGACAGGTGAGTTCTTGAAACACAGGTGGCGGAGGCCTGGGAAACGAAGGTACTGAGGAACGGTCCCCCACGTTGGGTCGGCCATAGGATGGCACTACCCTGTGCCGAACCCCACCCAGGTGGTGCTCAGCAAAGCCTGAATTACTCTGGAACACGAGAGCTTGTCTGCTTATACTGCCATCGTGGGCAGAAGCCGTCTTGGAGGGAAGTCGGGGAACCATGATTTACTGCTGGCCGGTGCTAAGCAGTTGAGATGACTGCTCAGGGCGCCGGATGTTCATCTTGTCCAGTAAGAGATTCCTCCTCCAGCCACTGCGACTTCCTGTTTCTAGACACGAAGTAGAAATGGGAGATTGTGGGGCACCGGGGGCCCTCTTGCCTTGCTAGGTAAGGGTCAACTAAACCTGGAAGAGAAAATGATTTAACTATTTAAGCACATTTTTTAGGAGTTGGTTCTCCTCATAACTGTTAAGAGGGAAGACTGGGAAGTGTTGTTGTAGCTCCTTTTGCTGACTAAATAAGTCTTTGCTTAGCTACTAAGATTCACTTACTGTTTGCGCCTCTGGTTTTGAATGAAACTTGGGTGTAACATACACCTTCAAGTGTTGATAAAGGAGCCATTCTCCAGGTGTGGTCCACAGGCCACACATGGATGTGAAAGTTCTTCTGGTGGGCAAAAGACTGATCTAGGAAAGCAGTCCTTTGTGTGGGTTTATCTGGTGACTGATGTGGAATTCCTGAACTTTGACTTGTGACCAGGGCTGCTTATAAGGAATCTGAGTAATAGAGTTGTGGTAGAATTCTACGTTTATGGAGTAGAAATTTCCTTATCACCAGAATCTTCTATAGATATTATTTTTACAGATCCCAGATTAAGCCAGGCACGGTGGAGGGAAGGAAGGGTTTATGGAGGTTCAGGATGCAGTCCATCACAGTGGCAGGAACCTGAGACAGATGGTCACCCTGCATCCACATTCAGGAAGCAGGCTGCAGTGAGAGATGACACTCCGCTCACTCTACGTAGTCCAGGACCCCAGCCTTTGGAATGGTGCCACATGTTAATGTGAATTTCCCCACTTCAAGCAACCCAAACTCCCAACTCCTCAGTTAGAATGTCCCGAGATTTTTCTCCTAAGTGGTTCTAGGTCCCTTCGCATTGACAATTTAGATAAACAATCCCAGGTAAGAGTGAATTAGACCCTGCGGTGAATTCAGCCCAGGAAGACTTGGGAGAAGCCACATGCTCGTCGGTGGTAGAATGCATTCACTTTGTCTAGCTGCTTCTGAGGGACGAGCTTTTAATTCTATGCTCAGCTCGGTTGCTTCTGTGTCCTTCGGAAGAACTGCACAGCCAGATGACCACTCCAGAGGTCTGCAGTTCTGTGCCAAGATGGTTTAGGTCACTGGTTCTCCACCTGTGGGTCGCGACCCATCTGAGGGTCCCATATCAGATATCCTGCATATCAGATATTTATATTGCGATTCATAACAATAGCAAAACTACAGTTGTGAAGCAGCAATGAGATAATTTTATGGTTGGGGGGAGTCACTACAACATAAGGAGCTGTATTAAAGGGTTGCAGCATTAGGAAGGTTGAAAACCACCAATTTAGGGTCAATTTGCAACCAAAACAATGAATGTGTCTCTGTGCACCTTATTTGGATTAGCATTTTGGGGTGACTACCATGCAATCCTTGCTCTGCCGTTGCCTTGGCTCTGGTTGGGCCGGGAGGAGGGGTGGAAGGTGCTTTAGTTGTGGCGACATGTCCTGACACGGGTCAGCGCCTCTTCTGACTCATCTCTTTTTCATTGCCCACTCAGGCAGCTGCCCTGATTCACATTTATCTCGATGGCTCTGTACTGCTCACTCACGGTGGGATCGAGATGGGACAGGGTGTCCACACTAAAATGATTCAGGTAAGAACACAAACACTGGATTCTGGTGAGTATGTCCTCACAGATGTGTTTACGAGGGAGGACGGTGGGCATATTTCTCTGTCCCAAAACAAAAGGGCAGGACGCTGTACAACTGACGGCTTGAGCTTTAAGCTATTAGCCGAAACTGTGTAAACAAGTCAGTTTCATCACTGGATGCTAGAAAAGCATGTGCCAAAAGACGGGTTTGTTTTATCGCTAAAGATGGCCGCGTGCTCGCTTTCGAATGTATTGACAACCGAATTGTCCTGTTTTGAGTTTTTGCTTGGTAGTGAAAAGATGTGTAAATTCTGATGGATTGTAATGTTTCTTGCCCTTTTTTTTGTCTTAAGGGCTCTGAACAATCAATAACATAAATCAGACTTGATATCTCTAGCTAGTGTTTATTAGCAATTCTGTGTTAGGGTCCTTCAATTTTGTCTGATTTTCTTTTTATAAAAATTGCTAATATGTTGCTGGTGTAATTTTGTTCATTGCCATGTTTTTCACAACCAGCCTTACAAAGAGTGACCACTTGTTCCTGTTGTTGCAAATTTTTTACAATTGCCAGGTATGGTGTGCCCACCAAAATCCCAGCACCCTGGGGGCTCAGGCAGGAGGATCAAACTCAGGCCAAACTCAGCCACAGAGTGACATCCTGTCTCAAAAACAGAGCAGACAAGCAGAAGATGTTCTTAACAATCATGGCTTTTGATGGCTGCATGGGGGATGTATTTGTAATTAACTCTACCCTGGTTATTGAACTATTCAATGAATAGTTCTCAAAATAAACCTAGGATCCTCTCAATGATTGTTTCCTTAAAAATGACTCACCAGAAGAGGAATTACTGGATCATGGGGTCTGAGTATTTGGAACTGCTTGACACACGTTACTAAATTGTTTTCTGTAAAGTGTCTGTCATTGCATCGTGCCCTCCACTAACACTCAATTTGATGAATTGTTGAAATAATTAGATTATTTTCCAGGTGAATGAAAGCAACTCAAGTGATATAATTTAGATTTTTTTTTAATTACAGGGATTTGAGATGTGTAGGGGTTTTTTGTTTTTGTTTTTGTTTTTGTTTTTCATGCTGCTAGCATTTGAGAGTTCTCGAGTTCAATTTTTCAGTGAGATTTCAGTGTTTTCCTTCTTGAGCCAAAGACCTTACGTGGAGAGCCCATGACTCTGCCTAGACGCTTTGCTGAGACTCTAGGGCTCAGGCTGCCTGTGTTCTTGGGCTGGCTGTGGACAAACTCTACCAAGCATCCTGCTAGCCAGAGGGAGATGAATGTGAATCAACTAAAATGATTTCCTCCAGCACTACAAGTGTGGACCCCCCTGTTGGCCCCCAGCCCCGGCCCCAGCCCTCCTCTGTGGTGCACGTGTTCCGGGGACCCATGTCTGGGGACCCATCTGAGAGGTGTTCTTTTCCTGCAGTGTGCCCAGGGCTGTGCATGTGCACAGAAACCAGGCAGCTCCTGCTAAAGTGATGGCCCCTTGGCTGGGAGTTTGCAAAGTACTGTGGTGAGAATAGCTGGGCAGTGTTGATTTTATTAATACAGAGATGGAAATGAAGCCTTTCCCTCCTGCACTAGCCTGGTGTCTTTTCCTGACGTTACTTCATGTGAGAAAATCAACGGAAAAGAAAATCTGTTTGAAACTTGGAGTCCAGACTAGCTACCAGGATTTTAGAAGACAGGGGGTTTTTTTTCCTTGAGGGGTTTCCGGTTTTGGTTTTTTCATCCCTGTCATGCATATAAGGGCTGCACACGTGTGCTGTGCCAGCCGGGCATGTGCACAGGTCTGCAACTAACCAAAGCGTCTGAAAAGAAACCTACGTTCACAATTGCAGGTGGTCAGCCGTGAATTAAGGATGCCGATGTCCAACGTCTACCTGCGTGGGACAAGCACAGAAACCGTCCCCAACGCTAATAGCTCTGGAGGGTCTGTGGTGGCGGACCTCAATGGACTCGCAGTAAAGGTAAAGCCCGCTAAAGCAACATCTGTCATTAACCCTTCGGGGCCAAATCCATAGCTGGAGATCAGACGAGAAGAGTGGCTCATCCCTCCCGGCTCCTCAGTTCAGGGCAGGCGCACAGACCCAGCAGGCGACCCAGCAAACACTCAGAGGCTCTGGGCCTGCAGCTTCACCGGCCAGCAAGTCCTCTTAATTCTACCCCAGACACCCCAGTATCCCCCCCCCCTTCTGTGTTCAGTCAGACTCCTGCCTCTTGCCAGGGCCTTTGGGCGACGCCCTCTCTCCATCCCAGTCCCATCCCCTCTCACTCCGGCTTCTTGAAGCCTGAACAAGTGTGCCGAGAAAATTAATGCTTTGGAACCAGTGTTTGGTGGTGTGGAACAGCCCTTCCGTTAAGTGTTGACCTAGTGTAGTGTGTAAGGCCGTTGCCTTTCAGACCAGTACAGGTCTGACAGGTGCTCTCCTACGAACATCCCTGTATAAAGCCTTTCCCGTGGTCCTCTCTTGCATTGACTCCCGGTGTCTCTTTGTTCCTGCGTACCTCCGAGGTAACTGTGGGAGGACACACCATGTTGTTTTGACACTGATGTTTTCATGAGATTATTAGAATTGTTTCTTTAAATCACCTACAGGATGCCTGCCAGACTCTTCTAAAACGCCTTGAACCCATCATCAACAAGAATCCTCACGGAACGTGGAAGGATTGGGTGAGACTCACTGGTTCTCTGTGGTTTGTCACAGAAACTAATGAGAGAGAGGAGAGGGGAGAGAAGTAGGCGTGGATTGTGTTTAGGGGATGGGGGATTCAAAGGCACTGTCATAATTGCATAATGACAGCTAAAAGGCTCCTCTGCACGTGGCACATGGAGTCACGTGTGGTGAGAGAAGTGGTGTGCCCGGGTATGTTTCTGTTACAGAGAACGATGGTGTCCACGCTACAACTCCTGCCCTGAGCTGCAGTCAGTGAATGTCTCATCCTGTGGGACCTAGGTGCTTTCTGGATAATAGCTGTGTGTTCTTCTCCTTTGGAGTCACTCTGCCAAATATATATATATACTGAAATCATTCTGTAAAGCCCAGTTAGACACGCATTTAGAGAGAGGAAACCAGAGGCTGGAGAGATGGCTCAGAGGTTAAGAGGATTTGTTGCTCTTCCAAAGGACCTGGGTTCAATTCCAGCACCTCCATGGTAACTCACAACTGTCTGTAACAACTCCAGTTCCAAGGGATCTTTTCCCTATGAAAAGGATCATATCCTTTTCCAGTCTCTGCATACACAGTCACACGTGTGGACAAAACACCCATATCCATAAGAATAAAATAGCTTATAAAAAACACATATGGGACCCCGCTGTGGTGTGTTCTATACACCCATAGACACCTATACACATCATAGACACCAGTGGACCAGGAACATTCGCCTGCTTCCTGACACGCTGGCAGTCTAGTTGGAGAAGACACACAGTCTGTCATCAACTAGCTACCTTTTCCAAATGGCCGACTGGTAAGCATTAGACAACATGGAGCAGGCATTCTCCAACCCCTGGTGTAGCTGTCAGCTGTCTGCTCTAGATGACCAGCTCTGTAATATCAAAGTACAGGTTTGGCAAAGTGTGGTGTAGAGTTCTGCTTGGAAAGAGTCCAGGGCTGAGGTTGCTCAGGATGAGCGTGCGTGCTTAGAATTCTGGTGGCTTGCTCAGTCACCTGTGTCTCACCCATAAGCGCCTGCTATTTCATAAAGGCTCATTACGTAATGAATGATTATGAAATAAGCTGGGTGGCACACACCTTTAATCTCAGCACTTGGGAGGCAGAGTTAGGCTGATCTCTGAGTTCAAGGCCAGCCTGGTCTACAGAGTGAGTTCTAGGACAGCCAGGGCTACTCAGAGAAACCCTGTCTTGAAAAACCATTATTATTATTATTATTATTATTATTATTATTATTATACAATATGAAACTTCTAAATCTGCGCTGGACATCATTGTTCTTCCCCTGCCTGGTGTTGCCTGAGCCCAGAGTTGAAAATGGCTGTCTGGAGAAAATTGCATTCAGGTGTAACTCAGGAACACACCCCCCTTCGCCATCCACCGCAGACGCTGCCATTGAGTCTGTCTTCTTCCATAGCGCCGCACCTTTCACAGTCTCTTTAGAGTCTTTGACCTAACCTTTGTTTTTCTGTTTAGTAGTCAACCATATGTACTTGCACAAACCATTGGATGTCACTGGCACAACTTAGCAAAATCACTCCCCTCAGCTGAAACTGTTTAGATAGATACACAATATAAAATTAAACATCCAACCATTGTGTCCCAAAATTGGCCACGTTAATAGCCTAAGTCTTTCCAGATGACTGAATGGATCCCTTCATAAGCAGGACGTGGGTGGCCATTATAGTTCAGTTTATTAGCATAATGTATCACGGCAGACATTTATGACAACCATGTGCATTGATCAAATGCTGCCATTACACACAGCGAGCCATGAATGCTTCTGTAGATGGAGGCTGGTGACAGGAAACGTTCATTTGGGGCTTTCCTTGTTATTGCTACACAAAACTCCTGAGCAATCCTCTCGGGAATCCTCATTATGTCATGTTCTGCTCTTCCCTCGCAGGCACAGACTGCTTTTGACCAGAGCATCAGTCTCTCAGCTGTTGGATATTTCAGGTACAATTGTCCCTTCAATCAAACGTCATGGAAAACAGCAGTAGGAGCTGGAGGAAGAATTTCAGTTCTCTTTGCAATTTTGGCCCCTAACCTGACTCACCCCCTTCAGTTAGCCTGCTGTTAGAAGAAACATTTAGCTGCTAGTTCGTCCAAGGATCCAAAGACCTTTTTTTGGAGAAAATGGTTCACACAGGTGAACTTGAATTGAGTGCTGATTCGGATCATACTGTGGCCATGATGCAGCTTTCTGGGAATTAGTGCTTGTAATCCACAGCCGTGGCTTTTTGTTGAAAATGTAATTTATCCCTAAAGTTAAGAAACAAGAATAGGGGTGAAAGTTAAAGCCAAAAAATAAGATTGGCGCCTCTGGGAGAGAGAGAGAGAGAGAGAGAGAGAGAGAGAGAGAGAGAGAG